TTTATTATAATCTAGCTTATATAATAAGTTATCTCTTAGTTTAAGAAACTACGTATAGGCCTCTCTCTTATAAATAACTTCTACTTCTATATATATATTATATTACTCTCTATTATTATTATAATTCTTCTTCTCTATCTAGTACTTATAATATAGTACGTGTGCGTAAAAATACTAAAAGGTACGTAGTTTATTTATAAGTTGTAATAGTATATTTTTAAAGGTATATATAGTACTATACTTCTAGTAAGATCTATACTTAGTAGTACTATTAGAGAGTTTAGGTTAAAGAAACTAGTAGTTATTCTTATTAGTATAATAGTTATAATAGAGTAGTATCTATGTCTTAAAGCTAGATAACGTTATTAAATTCTTTAGAGAAAGACTATTACCTATCTAGTTAATAATATAACTAAGCGTGTTATTTTTTATAGTATTTCTAATAACCTAGTTTTTCTAAATATATATAGTAATTTCTTTATCTAGCTTTATTCTAAATAATCTATAGAGGTAGATATTCTAATTTAGTAGAAGTATTATAAGTACCTACTCTATAAGTCTACTAAAAGTTAGCGCTAGATCTAAAAATGTAATATTTATTACTACTATTATAAGCTTTACTTACTTCTCTACTAATATTATCTAATAGTATATTCTAGAAGTGCTGTAGTTCTATTATCTTTAAAGTAATTCTATTAACCTCTATAATTTTATAATAACGTTAGTATTAGCCTTAGAGAATAGACTACTAAAGTATTAATAAACGTCTCTATTTAAGAAAGATACTAGCTTTATAGTTAGTTAAGTAGTTTCTTATAAAAAGAGAGCTTACGTTAGAGGTATCTATTTACTCTTAGATAAGTTTACTATCTAGAGCTTTTCTAGTTCTAGATTTAAAATACTTTCTATAACGTATATTTAGGCTCTTACTAGATCTTAATTACTATATATATTATATTCTAATAAATTATTAAGTATTATTATTTTCTTAGATAGTATAAGTATAAGCTTATTAAGATTAACGTCTTAATTTAGTTATAGTATATCTCTAGCTATAGCTACGTAGATAAATAGTTAGATAGAATACGCTAGTATTTTAAAATTACTCTATATAGAAAGCTTAAATACCTTTAATATAGAGACCTTCTTAGTTTAGTAATAGTAAAGAATAAACTTTAGTAAGATAAGAGTATAATTAGACTTCTCTACTATTTTTATAGGTAGTTCTCTAGTATTCTAGAAGACTAGTATATTACTTATATTCTATCTATACTTAATAATAGCTACGTTAGCGTAAGAGTTATTATCTAGTATAATATAGTAATTAGAGTAGAGTTTATAGCTTTATTAGTTAAAAGCGTTTACAAAAGTAAAGATAAATTATTAGATATTAGATCTACGTAAATTACAACTATAAGTATTACTAGAGACTAGGCTAGATATAGAAGTGTTAGAGCTCTCTATAGTATAAACGTTCTTATTATAAAAGTTAACGTTTTTCTACTTTTATAGTAATCTTCTCTTTATAATAGTGCTATATTCTTAGATATATTTTATAAAATCTACTACCTTACTAGACCTACTTATATTAAAGAGAATAGGTTAAGTTTTTATAGTATTAATCTTATCTATAGCTACCTAAGTATAAATAGCTAGTTTATTATAGAATTAATAAAAGAGAAAATACTAGTTTATACGCTTATTACGCTACACTAAGTTAGCGTATATAAGCGTATTTACTTCTTAACGTAGATAATCTCTAAGATTTTAGTACTTATACTTAATTAGATAGCTAATCTTTAGCTTCTTATCTATTAATATAAAATTATATACTAATAGTTCTATAGAATTAGATATAATCTTTATCTCTATTTTAGACACGCTTTTAAAGAACTTAGCAATTCTCTTTATAGTATCTACTAACTATCTCTAGTAGACTTAGCGCGTCTAGAGTAATAGTAGAAAGAAGTTATTAGCTTAAGAAATATTCTAGCTGCGAAACTTAACTCTATTTATAGAATTAATATACTAAGCTTTATTAGTAATATAGTTAATAAGGTTTATAAGTACTTAATAGATATTATTCTTATAGACTATAAAAAGAGCTAGATAACTCTTAAAGGTATTATCTTATTAATCTAATATATAGAAATCTAGGCTAGTAATATTATTCTAGTTTTTACTAGTTCTTTAATATATAGTATATAGATTCGCAACACTTTGTATTAGTATAAAGTAGTAGTAGTTAGAGTAGCTAGAAAGAATAAGAATAATAAAATACGCCTATTATTCTCTTCTTTAGTTACTTATATCTATTTTTGTATTAAAGCGTATAGTTATAAGTATCTATAGATTGTTTTAATGTTATTGTATCTAGCGGTAGGTAGTAGAAGAATTATTAGATAGAAATAATGTAGAAGAATCTATAATAATACCTCTATTAACGTTGCTATAATTAGAACCTAAAAATAGCTATTAGAATAGAGCAACTAGTAAGAACAACATACTTACCTTTTACAATAAAGATCTTTTGCTAACTATCTTTATTACCTTATTTGTAAGCTTTGTTAAGAGCTGTAAAAGTGTTAGATTGCAATAGCTAACCTATAAGACTTAGAAGACGTTCCTAGATACTCTAGAGGGGCTTGCTAGAACTGCTATCTATCTGGCGGCGCTGATTTGACATCGTAGATGTTCTTCTTTACCCCCTGCATGTGGATTTCCTTGGAGACGTTGGGGGCCGCTTATGTTGGGGGCCAAATTACCGAAAAGGGTAAGACGCGTGAGATGGCGCACAGCCGCTTGATCACAAATGTTTTGAGTGCCGAGTATCGATCGCCTGGCGCTGTTCGTGATGGCGCGGGACCGGGTAGAGGCTCGCCAGTACGCTGGGCGACGGACTCCGGCCCTCTCTTGCTGTCGCATTCCCCTCCTGTGGGAACCATGTTGTTTGTACAATGATTGACTGCTGCGAGGTCAGTAGCAGCCCTGTGAGCATCCGATAACATGCTAATACCATGTAGCAAACAATGAAATACCCAGTGCCGTTCCGCACAGCTCTGCTAAAGACCGAGAGCTCGGATGGTAGTTCAGGGCCGGAGGTACCGTTGCTGCCAGCAACATACCGGAGAAATTACAAAATCGAGCCAGTCCGCAACAACATCGGCGCGTTCTTGGATATCGAGCTGAATGTTCGCCGACTGAACGAAGTCCACAAATGGCTATGGCTTGTGGGCCTTCCAAGCGCGCCGCGACCTCTTCATTACCAAGTGGTCAAGAAACGGGAGATTGTGGTGACAGAACAGTTGGATCTGCATCTTGTTTGGTCGTCAGCGTCTTCGTCGTCGATTCTCCTCAAACCGCTGCCTCGCTTCCTTCTCTGCCCAAACTTCTGGGTCACGGAGATTTGCCCACGTCGGCACCTGTACGAGACGGCACTGGGCTTCATGCTGTCGTATGTCGCGCTCATCGAAAGGGAGGTTGACTACAATCTAGCCATCAACCACGGCCTCATTCCTAAAGAAGTCACTTGGCCTGGGTGGCTGGCGCTCGTTGGCGAGGTCGTCTGCACCTCGGTACAGACGCATACCATCGATGCGTCGGCTGCATCGTCTGTAAGCTTGCTGGAAGACCGCCCACGCGTCAACCAACGCTTCAACTATGGCGAATTGAGACTTGGGCGGCTGAACTGGATATATCGCTTGACCATGGGCGAGGTGCGCGGGTACCTAAGCGGCTGCAGCACGTATGGAGCCTTTATGCGTGACAACGTTAACAGTCTCATTACGCTATTCGCATACACTACCATCGTGCTCTCCGCGATGCAGGTTGGGCTTTCGACAGAGCCTCTCGCGAACGACTACTCGTTCGGCATGGCGTCGTACGTCTTCTCCGTCTTTTCCATCCTGGCTCCACTCGCATGCATCGTCGCTATTCTTGGTGTCATAGCCATGATGTTTGTCATGAATCTGGCGCGCACGCTGAGGATTCGAGGGCAGAAGCGGCGTCAAGGTGTGAAGGTGTGAAAGCTCGACGCGACACACGCCTGGCTGCTGGGAACGATGACGCGCTGCGGACCGACAGCCACCTGGGCAGGGAAGCGACAGCCCAAACATCCCCACGAAACCTCACCAGCCCCCCGTACCATCAACACCCATCCACCCCACCAAAGATACCTGATGAAATTTCATGTCGCGACAGCTCTTAGCCGTCTATAGTAGCTAGGCATCCATGCCAGGCGCCGACTGCTTGCATCAGTGGCCAGATACGGGCCCACAGACGACGCAACGTATCGCGATAATGCCCGAGGTCATCCACGCCTCACGGACATCAGTAGCGGGATTTCGCATCGTGCACGAGCAGAAAGATGAGAACAAAGTGCCAGTAATATAGCGAAGAAGACTCGTATCAATAGGCTGTGTGCATATCTCTCTGCCCGGGCTGCAAGGGTGGCTAGAATCTGTGTCGTGTTTGCTGCATACACATCATTATATATTAAGAAGTAGCTAGCTCCTAATACGATGCATACTTCTACCTTGATAGATATATTCAACATTCTCTAATGCTTTTGTAGACTGCAACACGAGGTATAGCTATCGCAGCACACGGTCTTGCCTAGGTACCGACGGGCTAGAATAGACGCAGTAGTAGCGGTACCTAGGTACAGTATTACACAGCATCGTCTGTGACATCAAACGCGGTTATGATAGAATCCTGGTCGTCCCCGACGCACACGTTCTATTCATACTTAAATCCAAGCCCATATTTACATCGCCTGCCAGTTCAGACTCGCAGCGAATCCCTCCCTAACAGCTCCAAAGCTTCATGTCGATTGTTCGTTCCGCTAAGCCTGCTGAGCTCCAAAGGGCCAAGGAAGGAGTTTGTTAGTCAAGGATCGGTGTAAGCACCAGCCGAGGAAGCTTTTATCCCGACACTTGACCTATTCCGATTCCTAGCGCTGACACTACGCTCTACATGACCGACACGGCCAGCAATCTCGAATGTCCATCTCTAACATCGTATTTTTCGACGAAATCGCCTCAAGGCACGACATCATGAGCGACGAACCAGTGGAGCTCACCAACCTTGCAGCGTCCAAGGTTGACACCCCACCAGAGGATGCCACACCACCCGTTCAATACCCGCGTGGTATCCGCTTGGCTTTGATAACTGTCGGCCTCGCCCTCTCCATCTTTCTCGCTGCTTTGGATTCAACAATCATCGCTACCGCGATCCCGAGTATCACCACGCAATTCCGTAGCATCAGCAGCCTGGCCTGGTATGGCTCGTCCTACGCTATCACCAACACCGCATTTCAATCTGCATGGGGCAAAGCCTACCAGTATTTCAGCCTCAAAGCCACCTTCATGTCTGCAATTGCGGTGTTTGAAATTGGCAATGTGATATGCGCAACAGCACCAACAAGCGAGGTTTTGATCTTCGGGAGGATCGTGTCTGGCATGGGCGGTGGCGGAGTGATGACGGGTGCGTTCATCATCGTCGCAATGACAGCTGGACCACAATATAGAGCCGCCTATATGGGTGTGTTTGGTGTGACGTTTGGATCTGCGAGCGTCGTGGGACCATTATTGGGTGGCATTTTGACAGACGGCCCTGGATGGAGATATTGCTTTTGGTACGTGAACCCCGATCTGTGTTTTGGCAGCTTTGCCGTCTACAACACACTCTCCACCAAATGCTTTTCGTATAGATGGAAACCACACAGGCCTACAAGGTCAAGATCGGTGCGCTGACACTACACAGGATCAGCCTACCGATCGGCTTCGCTGCCGCGCTCACGATGTTCCTCTGCTTCCATGACCCAGGAAAGCCCAAGGATGTACCTCTCCGCGAGAAGCTTCTGAACTTGGATCTCAACGGCGCCATCTTGCTATCCGGATGCTTCTCTTGCTTCATCCTAGCCACGCATTGGATTGGCATCATGCCTCCGACTAGTGCTCGTATCATTGGCAGCTTTATCGGTTTCGTAGGCCTTTTCATCTGCTTCGCGATCAACGAACGCTATATGGGAAGCTGCGCAATGGTACAAGCTCGCGTGTTTAAGAACAAACTCGTCTTCGCCAATCTACTATATGCTTCCTTCATAGCGGGCGCCTTTTTCCCACTCATGTATACACTGCCAATCCAGTTCCAATCCGTCAACAACAACACGGCTTCGCAGAGTGGTGTCCGACTCATTCCACTCGTCATGGGCGTCTCACTCTTCACCATGATATCTAATGGAACGCTCACCTTCTGGCGCCATTACAAGCCCTTTTTCTTAGTGGGCGCAATTCTGGCAGTAGCTGGAAACGTAAAGATACACTCCTTGGATGCCAGCACACCGACCAGGGACTGGGTCGGCTTCGAGCTCTTGACAGCCACGGGAGTAGGCCTCGCTCTTCAGATCCCGATGATTGCGAACCAAGCCCTCGTTTCTGCTGACGACTTGGCCGCTGTAACATCGATGTCGCTCTTCATGGAGAATACTGGCACTGTCTTTTCTGTCGCATCGAGTGAAGCGGCATTCACGAACGGACTGCTTTCAAGCCTCGCCCGCAACCTGCCCGAACTGGACGCGAAGGAGATAATGGATGCTGGCGCGACGCAGATCCGCGGGCTATTCTCGGGTCATGAGCTTGATCAGGTATTGAAAGGGTATCTGGATGGCTGTAAGACCAGTCATGTCATTCCGGTGACCTGTGGCGCAATCTGTGCGGCAATCAGCTTGTCCAACGCTGTGCCGGCGACCTTTCAAGGGATAAAGAAGCGGTTTGGGAAAAGCCATGATCGATGATTGCTGAGATGATATGGAAAAGGAAGCTTCAACACATTGATGATATTTCAACAGGAAGACCAGGACTCAACGGTCCGGAGTTAGTGGAGCTCAACGCCCGCGCCGCGAATCGACGTGTTGTCACGCCTCACACGGTCTCTTGACAGAGCCCAGCGTGTTGGTCAAAGTCGACATGATGGAGGTGGAAAACAGACACCGGCAGTTGCACCGTGCTGATGTGCTGCAGTGCATTGATCGTCCCTGGCCGGCTGCCGGTGCAATAGCGGCGGGACGCGTTCCGCTCAAACTATATTGTTGATATGCAACCATAGCCTATCAATACATCAGGCGCTCAAAGAGTTTCGCGTTCTTGCTCGATGACTTTCACGTTGTTCGCGAGTCGTGAAGTAATCCACGTCGGATGAGATGAGCGCGTGGATGAAGCACGCGTGACGTAGCGTTGGCTGCTAACCGAATCAGGCATAGCCCGACCGTCACGAGCCATCTACGCCCGTGCGCAGCGGCGACTCAGCCATCGCCGCGCTTATCATAACAGTCCCGTCTCTCTCGCCCTGTTGTCTCTTCTGCAATGTCCACAAATCATGCCATCAAACTCATCGACTCTTAATCATCGGAGCAGGCCCTCTACCATTCTCTTCGCCTTTGGCGTCTTCGCGCAGGTCGCGTTGCTTGCCTGCATCTTCTGGACTTACACTAGCTATGGCAACCCCCGTGAGCCGACCGCCTTAGCGGAAACCACAACTAAGACATCATCAAGACCAAACGGCTTCACTCTGCGCCACCTTTTGGATCACGGCGCTGGACAACCTGGGCCACGAGCACGAAGATTTGATGTGACTCCAGAGCGGTTTGCCGTTGCTGGTATCGACTCCCGCATCGGGCCCTTCACTATCAAGTCGGCACCAGTCAAGATAGAAAGGCCCGCGTTACGTGGCTACGATGCACAGATCCCCATGTCGCCCATGTGGATCGCCGAGGATATTCCGGGTCCGGATGTCACGGACAAGAACACCGTTATCAGTTTCGCAAACATGTCCGAAGATGCTTACAAAGTCGGCCCTGACGACGCAGGATGGATGGACGTCGATGGGCATTACAACTCGTCGGTCCCTTTTGGCTGGGATGACAGTGGCATCCGAGGCCATGTGTTCAGCGACGACACTAACTCCACCATCATTCTGGCGGTAAAGGGAACGACGGTAGCCATGTTCGAAGGCGACGGAACGTCCGTGCACGACAAAGAGAACGACAACCTGTACGGCTCTTGCTGTTGCGGACAGGGCGGCACATATCTTTGGCGCAAGGTATGCGACTGCCAGACTGGCACCTACAGCTGCGACGAGCAATGCGTCAAGAACGAGTTACGGAAGCCGAACAGGTACTATGCCGCGACTGTCGAGCTGTATCAAGAGGTTGTCAAAATCTATCCGGATGCACACATCATGACGACAGGGCACAGTCTAGGAGGCGTCCTCGCTTCTCTGATCGGCCTGCAGCACGGTATCCCCGCGGTGACCTTTGAAGCATACCCACAAGCCTTAGCAGCTAAGCGCTTAGGACTACCAGCTGCTGGTGACGTTGCTCCACTCAGGAAGAATACAGGTGGCTTCCATTTCGGGCACACCGCTGACCCCGTGTACATGGGAACTTGCAACGGTGCGACGAGTTTCTGCTCTATTGGCGGATACGCCTTTGAGACCCTTTGCCATACCGGAAAGAAATGTGCATACGACGTGGTCAAGGACTGGGGTTGGAGGCAGAACACACAGACACACAGCCTTAGATACGCCATTGACAATGTGTACATGAAGTACGACGAGGCAGCAAAATGCCAAGAAGAGGATGTTGGTTGTGTCGATTGCTACCTATGGAAGTTCGAGAACGGGACGAAAACCACGACAACGAGTACTTCTACAACACCAACAAGTACCACATCATCGAGGACGCGGACGGAGACATGTAAGACGCCTGGGTGGTGGGGATGTCGTGATGAGACTACTACGATGGTATCAACTACATCGTCCAGCGTATCAAGTACTGCAACTAGCACAAGTACAAGTACCTGTCAAACAGTGAGTTCCAGAACCTCAAAACAGTGCGAACATGACTAACTTCTTGAAGCCCGGATGGTTCGGCTGCAAAGACAAGACGACAGCTACCGGTCCTATTACGACTGCTACGACTACTACTACATCAGCTGCACCGACAACCACTTGCACCTCGAAGGGCTGGTTTGGCAGGTGTTACGATGACGTTCCAGCGACAACCACTCCTGCCATGCAAGCTCATGCCTACTGGCGGACTGCGGCGACTGCGACACAGACGGCTCCTTAGACTTTCAGAATCTTGCATATGTTATATGGGTGTCTTTCAATAGCATGGTATACCCATTTAGAACTACCAATCAATCATCTTCGTTGCTGCTTATCATCACGCGAAGAAATATTGTTGCATGATTCCGCCATCAGGTGAAGGCGCGAAGGATCAGTAACGTTTAGGCTAAACCCGATTTATGTGAGCCGTCTTTCGTATCTCTAGGCAGCCATCATCCAGCGTGTTCAAAAGGAAAACACACATAGCACAGATTGGGCATCAAACAAGCTTCCTTAGCCTTATACAAAATGCTTGACTTTGACTTCCACCTCACAACACCTCGTCTTTTCATATCTCACCTTGATCCTGAGAATGATGCTCATTGCGATTTCGCATACGAGCTAGTGTTTAGCCCAGGTCTCGCTGAGCAGAAGCCCGCAGTCGATGCGGAAATGACAGAGATCACACCCCCTCGCGATGTTGGGAAGAACTTCATCGCGAAGGATATTGAGAGGATGGAGCAAACAGGCTATGGCCGCTACCTGGTCTCGCTCAGACAAAACTCGGCTTTGAACATCAATTCACCGCACGAAGACGAAGACGTTCCTTTCTCGAAGCGACGCCTAACGCCAATTGGCATCGTCTCAATGCAACTCGCGCGCTTCCCGTCCGAACCGTCCGCACCAACGATCCCAGATGTCGGGTTCACATTCCTCCCCCGGTACCTCGGAAACGGGTACGCTACTGAAGCTGCTGCGGGCTTGATGGAGTACTACACAGACGAGAGAGGACTCAAGGAGTTTTGCGGTTTTTGTAAACCGGAGAACACAGCTAGCGCAAACGTCTTGAAGCGGTTGGGCTTCGAGGAGAGAGGTCTAAGGGAGATAGACGGTGTTGTCGAGGGGGAGGTATTGAGCGCGTTGGTCTGGACAATTGGCGTTGGGCATGAGAAGGGCGCGCTTGAGAAGCGAGGCTTGCAGCGCGTTGTGAAGCGTTGGTGGAAGTGGTGGCGTTAAAGCCAGTCACGTGTCTCTGCGGAATATCATCAACTTAGAGAAATGCTATGCCTCATGCTCAATCTCAACTGTGATCGTGTTACAGAAATACCCTATCAGCGTGATGAGGATGCCGGACAGACGATCGGAAAGAGTCCGCGCGATGACGTCTGTGCGTCGGCCTAAGTCTTAGCGCAGTGCAAGCCCGTCTTCAGCCGAAGCTCGCATCCGTCCGATGCTTCAGCTTCGTCGGATGTTCCGTCGAGTGTTTCCTTTCACCACAGGGTGCAGCCGCGCGCTCTGGTAGCCGATTGCTAACTATTCGCACTCAGCTGACGCGACATTATTCCACGAGATGTCAACACCGGATGCACTGGCAACAACGCGTCCGGAGAAACGGCGCAGACTTGAGCGCGTCGCAGCGGCCTGCGATCTGTGCAAGAAAAGAAAGGTAAAGTGCGACGGTGAGCAACCATGCGCCTATTGCACTCGGAAGGATCGCGCGGCTACTTGCACGTTCAGCGGCCCTCATGCACGCCCGCAAGCGCATTCTGCCGGTCACACTCCCCTTCACGGTGTCCATTCCGACGATATCCACCGTCATCACCCCCGTTCAACTGGCCATACACCTCATAACCGCGATCGAGATGAACAGGACGATGCTGTGCGACAAAGGCTTGATCGCGAAGCTGCCGAGGATGGAACATCACTCTCGCCAACATTGAGCAGAGATGATCAACAAGGCGATACAGTGGTGCCTCTTGAGGGTCGCATCCTCCGTGACGCCCAGGGAAAGTCTATCTTCATTGGCGACTGCGCCCCGCTGTCTTTTCTGCAGACAGTCAGGCATCTCATCACATCCGAGGTGGATCCAAGAGCTACTGTTCAAGCTACACGCGACCCCATCATTGAGATCGCTCGGCCTGATTCAGCGGATCAACATTCATGTCCTCCTATTGATGTGCATCAGGTCGACGCACTAGTCGACGAGTTCATGGCTGCAAGTAGTGGCCTCGTTCAGCTCTTCCAACGAGAGGATCTTGCTCCCGAACTGAAAGCATGGGCAGGCAGCAGGAATTCGAGTCCAGACGATGCTGCAGCTGCCGTCTTCTATCTGGTCCTTGCGATCGGCGCCCAAGAGCGATTCGAGGAAAAGGCAGAAGCCTGGTTCAATACTGCTCGGGATGTGCTTTTGAAGCATATGTGCAGCAGCATGAACGTGTCTACTGTTCAAGGCTTTGCCCTCGTAGCCATCTACATGCTCCGAGCGTCTCAGCCGAATGGAGCCTACTTATACTTCTGTATGCGAAATGAGAAAGAACTGGCAGTACATAATACGCTAACTTGTTTCAGCCCTGGCTGCGCGTGCCGCATATGCAATCGGCATACACCGAACGGAAGTTAACGCATCCTTTGGCGAAACCGTCAAGCTGGTGCGAGACCGGATTTGGAAGAGCATTCGCGTCACCGACCAGTTGATAAGGTAAGATACAACTACAGATGTCCTCAACCAAAGTCTCACACGTTGCGGAGTCTGCACAGCTTCACTCTGGTAGTATATGCTGATCCTCTGCTTCCCCATGTAGCAACGCATTAGGCCGACCTCCGTCCACATCAGATGTCGATTGCACCGTCAAATACAACACTTTTGAAGACAACACCGAAACCGATGATGCCAATATACTGGATGCCAGCGTCCAGATCTTCATGATTATTGAGCGTGTCGTCGTTGAAGTGTACTCTCGCAAACGCATATCACTACGCATTGCAGACTATGTTTCGCGACAGTTGAAGAGCTGGGCGTCCAAATGGCTGCAGAAATTATCTCATCTTACGACCAGACCTCATTCTCGAGAAGCCGTAGTGGGTGCTTGCTCCACACTCTGCTCCTATTACTACGGCATCATGCTACTTACCCGACCTTTCCTCATCTACGAGTTATATGAGTACATGGGCGCTCCTCTAAAGAGCGGAGGCTCACAAGCTGATCACCAAGAGAAGCGCAAGTACGCAGATGCTGCACTTGATGCCGCGTCGACGTTAGTGGATACTCTGCTAGTCGTGACGATTACAAAGCAGTTGCCTCGTAAGATGCCACTGATAGTGTAAGTAAAGCTATCTTGCCCTATTGAGTAGGCTAACAGGTATCAGATCCTGGCTCTTTACGGCTACACTTGTTCTTGCTGTCGGCATTCTTGGGGACTCGGGACTTATGTTAGTGGACAGCTGCAAAGATGCAATCACTTGCATGGACTACTTTGGTCAAGTCGACCCTCATGCCCGGCAATACTCACAGGTCGCGCAATCGCTGCTCAAGATTACCACTGCACATGCCAAGAAGAGAGAGCTGCATCTGCGCCGTAAAAGGAAGCAAGCATCGTCGGAATTGTTTGGCCTATTGCCTGGAGAGTCAACTAACATCGCGGCCCAAGTGGACGAATGCGACGCACAGCTCGGCCACGGGTCGCTGGTCTCCCGAGACTCCGTTCAGCGCCACGTGTCTTCCGCAGCGCCACTCGATTGGACTATATACGATGCCGACTTCTTTGCCATGCCATGGCCGAGTGAGAACGATCAGGGTCTCCAGGATTTCTTGCAGCCGGGCACTCACAACCTTGATGGCGTATCCGTGGCTGACATACCGCTTTTTCCCATCCACGACCAGCAGATGGGCGGTGACTTCTTCCCGTAAGTTCGAGATGGATGGGATGGCGTCACGAGTGGGTTTCTTCTTCAAATTCTCTCCCAAGACACTTCAATGCACGACTTTTGTTTCACTAGTCTCGTCTCTCGATGTTCTCAGAAACGGTATCAGCTTGGTGCCTCCAGTTCCGACCAACTCTTGCGTCTTCGGCTTTTCGGCCGCCAACTCCGTCGAGGCGGAAGCTATATCTCGTCTCTTGGGACCGGTAGTGGGTTTTCCCATTCGGCTCGGTATGATGATGTACCTAGTCACCAAGGCGATGTGTTTGTCGCGGAAGCCGCTGAGCGCCGCGACGGCTTCGTTGAATGCGGTCAGAAGCTCAGTGTTGTCTGCATGACTATCGACGTAGCTTCGAATATTTGCGATTGCTTGGACATCGTCAAGAAAGCGGGCATGGGGCCCGGGCATGTACCCACGCATCTCTGCGTGAAAGCCGCCGCTTCTCGAATGGTCGACAGAGAGAACCGCATCGAAGAATTGTAGCAGCGAAGACTGGCCGTTGGAACCACCACGATAAGCGCGCCATGTGCCTTTTCCGTTACCTTCGTCGTAGAAAACGCCGTTTGGTAGACCGGCACTCGCCATGTTCATGCTCCCAGCCAGGAAAGGTCGGATGGTGTGGTAGAACATCTGCGGGTCACACCGCTCATCCATGCGTTCCAAGAGCTGGCCAATGCGCTGCATTCCCTGTCGGAAGTATTGCAGGGCTTGTATGATCGTTGTGGCATCATCAGTCTCGACAGCTTCAATAGCACCAAGCATGGCCTCGATCAACGGGCCTGCTCTTGCTTCCATGGCATTCGAAATAATGAAGAACCACGACTCATCATCGGTTCCCGTCGCTGTGTGTAGTGCAACCATGTTCTCCGGTTGCGTCAAGTCGGCGTCTTCGTTGAGTGGTGTCCAGTTCCATAAGTTCAGAGCTGCATATGTGGCCACTGGATGCACCTCAAGATAGTCGGCAGTCTGAAGGAACGACACAGTGATCGCTGGGGGTAGTCGCTAGCTTCCTTGTTAGTGACTGGAGACTTTAAGGTACTGCGATTTCATGCTGACATACCTCTGATGGCTCGGGACCTGCCCATATGTAGCCCTGGGCTATGACAGCGAGCATCGAGTGTGCTCTCTGCCATTCTGCCTCACTGGAGAGATGCGACGTATCGAGAACGGGCAATTCGTCAACCCATTGCCGTATTTGTTGTGTCTCTATGAGGGTTGGAAGTTGCTCAACGATCTTCTCCCATGGTTGATAGTAGGTATGCGGTAAGCGTCTTAGTGGTGGCTCGGCAGGTAAGAACCCGTTCTTTGAGATGCCGTAATTAGGGAGTGCATCGGGTGATGGGAGGACGGGAATCTTGTGAGGACTCATTGCGGCGGAAAAGGTAGCGACGGTAAGGTTGCACAGTAATATCGGAAGGGTACGTCCTTCCTTGTAGCGGCGAACTCCTGCTTTATTGCGCTGAAGAGCGAGGTCCACACTCAACCCACGGTCGCGTTCCGATAGTCTTCCGAGCTCGGAATGACGGAAGCGTTGTCGGATGAGAGTCCGATACCCCAATGAAGAAGGTGCAAGCTTAGTTTGATGCAAGCCTCAAGCCTCTTGCTTGGAGACGTAATGGCCAGATCGTGATGCATATATAGTCTGACGCCGTCTTCTCAGTATCATTATCACATTCGTACATCACATCGCATCTCGTTGGTTCCCCAAGACATACCCTAACCGACAGCACATCATCACCATGGACGCACCTGCCGCAATCCAACAGCTTCGCCAAGGGCAAAAGCCACAGTGGCCAACAAACGCCGAATCAGCAGACTTTGCGCATTCCCTCGATCAAAGTGCAGACATTCCCAAGACGTTCCGACCCGAGTTTGTTGTTCCCAGCAAAGCGCAGCTAAAGCGGAAAACCCTGAACGATGACGCACAAACCGCCAACCCTGCATCAACACCAGACGACGAGGCCATCTACTTCTGCGGCAACTCTCTGGGTCTGCAACCGAAAGCTGTTGGCGAGCACTTGAACGCATACCTGAAGACATGGGGATCTATCGCTGTTGGCGGTCATTTCACCGCCCTAGAGGACTCGCCGCTCACACCCTACCAGGACATGGCTGCTGGGTGCTCAAAGAAGATGGCTGACATCGTCGGCGCATCACCTTCAGAAATCGTTGCCATGAACACATTGACCATCAACCTGCATCTGATGATGGCTGCCTTTTACAAGCCAACTGAGAAGAAGCACAAGATCATGTGCGAGTGGCGACCTTTCCCTAGCGACTGGTATGCGATCGAGTCGCAAATAGAATGGCACGGTCTTGACCCGAAGAAGTCCATGCTGTTGGTCGAGCCGGACGATGGATACATCATGACCACAAAGAACATCCTCAAGCTCATTGACGAGAACGTCGATGAGCTGGCTCTCATCATGCTGCCCGGTATCCAGTACTACAGCGGCCAATTACTCGACATCCCCACCATCACCGCACACGCACGCAAGCACAACATCACCATCGGATGGGATCTAGCACACGCTGCCGGAAACGCCGAGTTGAAGCTGCACGACTGGGATGTCGACTTCGCGTGCTGGTGCACGTACAAGTACATGAACGCCGGCGCTGGTTCCATCGCCGGTGCTTTCATCCACGAGAAGCACGGTAATAACGACCACTACAAGGGATTGAAGGGCTGGTACGGCCACGACAAGTCATCGCGCTTCCTCATGGACAACAAGTTCGTTCCTACACCTGGCGCGCAGGGCTTTCAATGCTCTAACCCATCGATTGTCGACCTTACATGCTTAGCCGGCTCGCTCAGCGTCTTCGAGAAGACTTCCATGACCGACCTACGATCACGATCTCTACTGTTGACCGCATACGCTGAGCACCTGCTCTCTCAGATCGCGGCGCGCAACATCAAGGACGGCAAATTCCCCTTCGAGATCATTACACCCACAGATCCCCGCTTCCGCGGCGCACAACTGAGTGTGCTGCTTCCAGAAGATGTCTTCGACGATGCGAGCGCGGCGCTGGTGGAGAATGGTGTTGTCTGCGACAAGAGGAAACCCGGTATCATTCGCGTTGCGCCTGTACCGATGTACAACACTTTCAGTGATGTTTGGCGGTTTATGCAGATATTTGAGGAGGCGATACGAGAGAAAGGTCAAGGGCAGGCTCAGGAGCAGCAGTCGCAAGGGACGGCGGTTGAGGCGAGGTTGTAAATTAGTAGTTGTTATTTAGATGTTCTTTTTGCAGCGTTAGACATTGATGCATATCACAGAGTTTGTCTTGATACTCCACTGCTGCTTTTGTACAATCCTACAGCAATCCTTTCTGAACTCCAGCTCGATAAAATACATGTGTTCATCCTTTGATGTCTGTTGCGCTTGAAGTTACACTTGTCTTGCGTTCGCGCACGACGAGCACATTGCATTTGAGTCATGTTTCACACACACCCCCTTTGCGACGTTCTTTCACTTTCACTCTACGCTTGAACATACCCGGAAGAAAGTCGCTCCGGCCGCAAAGAATCGAGTAGAACCCAACCTCTATCTCTTCAGCTTCTTCTCTCCCCTAACACTGCAATTGCGACAAACGACAGCGATGGCGGAGGCAGCTCAGACGCAAGTTCTGGCCTCACTGAAAGGGTAAGTTCCATTCCTAATTCACGTTCTTGTAGCCTTTCATCACGTCGACATTCTACTAATTCACTGCCAGCTCTCACAAATCGGGCGCATACTTCGATCTCACCATCAAGTGCGGTAGTGACATGTACAAGGTCCACAAGGTCATCGTCTGCGAGCGCGCCGAATTCTTCGCCCGTGCGATCAAGTTTGGCGGACAAGTAAGTGCTTGACAAGGTAAACATATACCAGAGACTGATACTTTGAGAAGGAATCTGAGAGCGGTACCGTCGATCTTCCTAATGACGAACCGGCCATTGTCAAGCTCCTGATTCAATACCTCTACGAAGGCGAGTACGAACCTTTGCTGCCAGACGGCGAATCTTCGCTAGATCCAGCATCTGCCAAAGTCGACGATACTCGCCCGAAGCGTAATCACAACGGGCAAGCATACAGCTACGACTTTCCACACACGTGTGAAATGAACCACCGTTGTAGCCACTCTTTTGTCTGCCCACATCATACGTGCAATCTCACAAATTGGAATTATTGTTGTGCCAATCGCAAATACACTTGCGAGATGTGCAAGCGTTCCGCCCCGTCGCTGCCTTCACTCAACGGCCAAGTCGATCAACTTCTTCTCCACGTCAAGATGTACGAATACGCGGACAAATACGACGTGGTCGGACTTAAAGACCTAGCTATCGAGAAGTTCAGCCGTTCATCCAAGCACTTCTGGAATGAGGACGAGTTCTCCATCGCCGCTCACCATGTCTTCTCCACCACCGTCGACACAGACAAGGGCCTCCGCGATATCGTCAGTGCCACGATCAGTGCACACATGGGACTAGTCAAGAAGCCTGAAGTCAAGGTCCTCATGACAGAGTTCAACGGCCTTGCTCTGGGTATTCTGGAAGAGAAGATCATCGAAAATGGTTGGTAGAGAGAGGTGACATGCTTCTACCAACTCAGACTGGATCTTTGGACACATTAGCATTTGATGGATAAGTCGGAGGTCGAAGCTCTGCTCACAGAGTTCAACGGGTTGGCAGTCTGTCTCCGGAAGTTGATGGAGAAGACAGGTTGAGTGATTGTGAGCTGGATCATGAGAGAGTTCGAGAGTGAACATGGATGCAAGAATGTAGAAGGACAAGAACTTACGAGAAGCAAAGCCATCGTAGAAAAGCTGTCGGCTTCAAGTGGGCAGTTAAGGAACGTGGAAACAATACGTGCAATGTCATCCTTCGTACCTTCCTCATCTACCGCTTCTACCCGTTGATCTCTGAAGTCATGCGTATATGCATGCCTACGTACCTAGGTATCCATGACGACACTGTCAATTTTGCTTCACCTTCACTTTACAACTAACTAAACCCGGAAAAAAGTTGCGCCGGGGGTAAAAGTTTAGGGAGAACCTGTTTTGGTACCCTCTACCTCGGGGATTCCTCACTCACCAAACACTGCAACCGCGATCAACAGCAAACATGGCAGAAGCGGCGCGCAACCAGCTGTATCTCACCTTCAAGAAGTAAGCTCATTAGCACTGGTTAAAAGGTTAACAAACTAACGCCTCGTAGTCTACTCGCCTCTGGCAACTTCTCCGATCTCACTGTGACCTGCGGCCCCGACTCGTACAAGGTTCACAAGAATGTTGTGTGTTCCCGCGCGGAGTTCTTTTCTCGCGCTGTCAAGTTCGGAGGCAAGGTGTGTCGCGTCGTCTATGTTTCTTCCACTTGAAGCCCTGCTGACTGTAGTCCAGGAGACTGAGCAAGGCAGTGTCGATCTCCCAGAAGACGAACCCGCTATTGTCAAGTTGATGATGCAGTACATCTACCAAGGCGAATACGATCCTGCTCTTCCCGACAACGAGCTGAGCGGTTCCACGAAAATCACAGTACCCCCGACTCCCACACCACCGCACAAGAAATCGCGGACAGCGAGACAGCTATTCGTACCCGCAACTCCAACATCGTTTCCTCACTCTTGTGACTATTATGGATACGACTGCAGTGAGAGATATGCATGCAAACACCATACCTGCGGTGATAAGTGCAACTACACATGCCAAAATTTCACCTGCGAGGAATGCCGTTCTGGCTCAACACTCTCTATCCCCGGCTCATCTACACAGCTGATGATCCACGCTAAGCTCTATGAAATCGCCGACAAATACGACGTGGTAGGCCTAAAAGAGCTGGTGATTGAGAAGTTCAAGCGAGCTTGCCACAGCTTCTGGAACGATCCCTCTTTCGCAAACGCGGCTCACCACGTTTTCTCTACTACTCCTGAACACGATAAAGGTCTGAGGGACATTGTGTCGAAGACCATCGCGGAACACATGGCCGAGCTTGTGAAGAAGCCTGAGGTTGAAGCTTTGCTTACCGAGTTCAATGGACTGGCCTTTGGCTTGCTCAAGATGAAGACGGAGGCTGGTTGGAAGTGATGGACTTGACTATGGCCGCCTGAGGGGGGAACAGCGAATGCGCTATGAAGGATCAGGGATGGTAGAGGAATATGATCTGAACCACGAGGCGAAAAGAGGTTGAGGAGCATAGAGGTGGTTCGGCTGCTGGATACCTGAAGAGTAGCCAACCAAACAAAATACACAAATGCTACACTTCTGTTTGCTATAGCACCGAGTACGTAAGAACACGCCTGGTTATGAAACGCCATATCCATGACTCCTAACAACACCTATTCCGGATATACCACCTAGTCCTAATTCTCTGCACATAAATCGTTTCATCCCACGAAAGCACATTCATTCCTCATGTCCCCATCTACTGCAACCTCACCTCCCCCTCCTCCCTCTTCAACCCAAACTTACTCAACCTAATCCTCGGCACAACCCCCACCAGCACCAACACACTAGCAACAATAACAGCCCAATGCTGCACATGCGCCAAGTTCAAATTATACGTCGTCCACGTCGCCGCGCAAATCGTCGCAAGCCCCAACACCGCAATAACATACCCCGCCATGCGATGATACTTATAAATACTCTTCGCGTTCTCCACACTGCCATACAGCTGCGGCACATAGTACTGCGTGAACCCCACAATAGCCTGGATGTACACGAGGATATAAAAGGTGAGGCCGAGGCGCGCGTGCGCGGATTCAAAGTGTTCGTGACCCGGGCCGGCTTTGTTCATTTCGATGATGATGAGGCCGGCGGTGAGGGCGGAGGCGCCGAGCGCGTGGAAGAGGAAGTGGGCGAGGGTGCCGGCGCGCTTTTGTTCGGGGGTGTGGGTTGGTTGCAGGACGAGGGCTGCTTGAATGGCTAGGAGGAAGCCGGCCTAGGGGGTATCAATGATACGGTTGGCGGGAGGGGGTGATTAGGGTGGTGTTGTGGCTTACGGAGTTGAGGAGCTGCGTGGTTGGGTTGGTTAGTTGGTTGTGGTGGAGGTTTGAGGGGTGAGGGGCTTACTGGGTGCGCGGAGAAGAAGATGAGTTTGTTGGAGAAGATGGCTCCCCAGATGATGGCTGCGAGCTTTTGACGCGTTAGTATGGGCGTGGTATGCGAGGTGTTGAGGTGCTTACGATCCATATTCCTGCTTGCGCAATGGGAGCGGTGCCTGGGTCTGTTAGACTTCTTCCTTACAACATATGCTTGACAGCACATACCAATCCACAGGTTATGGTAGAGAGGCTGCCCATGCATCTGGCTGGCATCTCCTCTTCTGCCTAGAAGAGGCTCTTGTTCACTCTGTCCGCGCGCCGCGGCGGCATTTGGTGGTATTCCCGTCGCAGAAGCCATGCTGTGAAGTAGAAACTCAAACGCGTTGCTATGAACAGCCTGAGAATCAAGGGAGGTCAAAGGGTATAGTGTCAGCCTGCGACAGGTGTCTGAGGGGTGCGCTTCGGACTTTAGGCGATGAGGAAGCTCCGGCAGACAATGACGACAACACGAACCCCTGTTCGTATCCACCAATTAGCGCGATGCGGATGTCAGATGCATTGGGCTCCGGCCAATCAGCGCCGAGATGACTAAAGCGTGGAGAAAGTGGTGATGTTTGCATTGCGGGTTTTTGGGGGTGGAGAAGGCGTTCTTGACGCGATATGCATGTCTAGCGCGTCCACAACGGTCGCGTGAGACATCTTCATCGCACCATCAGACGAAAATGAGGAAGCTGAGCATCAGTATTGGTGGTTTGAATATATTCTCGTCTCCGTTACATCGTTGCTATTGTACAAGTTCGCGCTCATCCGTAGCGCTGCGTCAGCATAGTCATCCCCGCTGCGTGTTGAGGTATCAAGTCCATGTATAATGTCCCCCTTCTTTCTATCCCAAGGCAGAGTTTGCTGCCATAATGCCGCCTGATGAACCATACCACGGGGAATCATCCTCCACCAGCTGCGTTCGCTCCAAAGTAACAATACGCCTTCAAATGCTCATGCATTCGCCTTGAAAACATTACATCCATTAACAATCCAACTGCATAACCAAACTAAGGATATGAGATGCGTGAAGCATCCCAAGTAGCAACCAGCGCCTCTAGTGCGATGGTAGTAACGTGGACCACTGTCATATCCGGTGTGCCTAGTAGCACGTCCAGTGTCTCCCCAACTGCGCCGTTCGCTGATGCAGGTAGGAGCGAAATCGAGTACCCTGCCTCGATACAATGTGTACGTGTGCGTAAAGGTAAAGTCCCCCACTCTCACTTCTTCTTCATGAGAGCGGGCTGTTTCGAAGGGTCGGCCGGATCCAGGAACTTGGTCATGGCAAGAGAGAGTTCCTTGAACTCCACCGGCTTCGTGACGTAAGAGTTGAAGCCTGCTTCCACGCACTTCGCGTAAACATCACCGAGGACGTTCGCAGAGAGCGCGATGATAGGGTGGCGGCGGTAGCTATGCTTCTTCTCCCATCGCCGTATTTCTTTGCAGGCTTGATACCCGTCTTTGTTGGGCATGTGTAGATCACACTGGATGGCGTTAGTGCTGTCCGAAAGAAACAGACGTTACTACTTACGAGAATGATCGAGTAATAGCCGGGTGGCTTTGCAAAGACGGTCTCGGTAGCTTGGACACCATCCTGTACCGTTTCTGTTTCAATGTCGATCCTGGCAAGGAATTTCAAGATGACCTGAAGACTATCAGTATGCGCAAGAAGTTACATGTAGAGGACACTAACCGTTTGGTTGATCTTGTTGTCTTCGACCAGCAAGACCTTGTGGTTCTTGCCACCCACGCGACGCTTGAGTTCTTCAAAGACGAGCTTTTGGCTGACAACGACCTGCTGTGCGCTGTCTTGATTGCGATCCGTGCTAGACTCACGCTCCTTCTGTGGGTCGAAGATGATGGCAAACTTCGAAGGTTTGAGAGGCCGGTAGATGAACTGCAGGCGTCGATCCATGTGAAGCTGCTCATAGTCATAGACTGGAGCTTCTTTGATGAGCTCCTTCTTCTGCGACGGGTCAGAGACTACGACGACAGATGTGTTACCATACGCCATGGAGCTGAAGATCTGGTCCACGATGGCGTGCACCTCGGCCGTGTCGTGCAATACAAGAACAACGTGGGTAAATAGTACAGGGTTGTCGCCACCCATCATCTTCTGCGCCTCGATGACGCTGGCCTGACCCGTCACTTGATGAGGTATTCCCTGAGGAAGCGTGTTCCTGATGTGTCGGATCGTAGCTTCCCTACTATGCTCCAATGGGCACACCACCAGAATAGAATACATGGGAGGTTGTAGAGCACTGCCAAGCGGTGACAGACTACGATGGGGTGAAGACGCACGGAGGGTCTTGTCCGAATCAATGGAGGTGGAAGAGTCGGGCTTGGGGGCTTCCTCGCTATCGGTTCGTTTGGGTGGCAGAGCTAGTTTTATATCCGGGTCTGAAGCTGGGCTGGCCTCTTGCAGGTACGAAGACGCAGAAGATCTTTCCGAACGCAAGCTTGACTGTCCAGTAAGAGCGGCACTTGTCAAAGAGTGATCCGAGCTACCAGAGGAGAGGGACGGAGAGTCGCGCGAACGCTCAGAGGCTGACAGACTAGATGCAGGCGACCTGACAGGTTCGCTCTTGTCCGAAGAGACGCTTGATACACGCTTGATCGGTGCTTGGCTAGGATTTTGTGACTGAACAAATTTCTGAAGAGCCGAGGGCTGGGGTAGTGGAGGCACTGCTGGCACTGCGAGCGGTGTCTCAAAAGCTGGCGTGCCTGGTGTCGACACCTGCGGCCTGGGGAAGTCGTCGGCAGTGGGAAGCCCAAACTTGATCGTGAAGAAGAAAGTCGAACCCTTGCCTGGCGCACTTCGTGCATCCATTCTACCTCCATGTAGCTCCACGAACTGCATAGAGATAGCCAAGCCGAGTCCTGTTCCGCCGTGTTGCCGGGTACTGCTGGCGTCGATTTGACTGAATCGCTTGAACAGGTACTTGGCCTCAGCATCTGTGAAGCCTTGACCGGTGTCCACCACTTCGAACCGAACCATGGTCTCGTTATCTCGCAGGGGCCGAGATCGATCGGGTGGTTGCAATCTGCATCGGATAAAGATCTCTCCTCGCTCGGTGAACTTGATTGCATTGCCAACCACATTAAGAAGAACTTGGCGAATGCGGAACTTGTCACCCTTGACCTCTGCTGGCACACCTTCGTCCACAAGGTAGTTGAGTTCAAGGCCTTTCTGTATGGCTAAGCCCATGTTCAAGTCATTGACCTCTTCAAGAAGCGACGGCAGATGGAGCCATTCCATGGACAGCTTGATCATACCGGCTTCGACCTTTGACAGATCGAGAATGTCGTTGATGAGGTTCAGCAGACTGTCGGTACTAGCTTTTATGATGTTGACATGCTCCAACTGCTCAGAGTTGAGCGTGCTGTCAAGCAGGAAGTTGACCATGCCGGAGATACCGTTCAGAGGAGTACGGATCTCATGAGACATGTTACTGAGGAACTTGGACTTTGCATCCATGGTTTCCTTCAATGTCTGCTCGAGCAGCTTGTGGTCATTGATGTCGGTAGCTGTGCCATACCAGGTCTCTTCATCGCCGTCTTCAGAGAGTGAATTCTCTAACAAGATCCTGACCAGATGCCACCTGTAGTCACCGTCTTTGTTGCGAAGTCGCACTTCGGTGGAATAAGATGCCCGTCCATCTGCATCCTTTGCAACCCTGAGAATACCAGTGCTTGCTAGTTTGGACAACTTGGCCTGAGGCATGTCCATGCGGTCTGGTACTGATCCACCTGGGCTGGTGATTGTTCGCTCAGTCTCCGATGAAGCGTCCGATGAGTTTGAGTCGGTTCTACCGTGATCTGCTGGCATCGAAGTGGGCACATTGGCGACTCCGTGTTCATCCAACTCGGGAAGCTTGCACTTGACAACGTCATCAGGGTGCACATGCTCCAAGAAGCCGTTGCCCAGGGCATGAATCTCACTTTGGCCAGAGAAAGAAATCCACTGCGAATTGCAGAACGTCAAACCCCTGCGATCTGACACGACAAACACGATCTGCGGGCTTGAATTTGCTAGCGCGCGGTATTTGGCTTCCGACGCAGCTGTCTCTTGTTGTCGGGAAGAATTGAGTTCGGCAATATGCTGTTCGTGAAAGTCCATGTTGGTGCCGATCCAGTGAACAATCTGTTGACGCTTGTTCTTGAGTGGGGCGACGCGTACATAAAACCATCGGTATTGCTGATCAAATCGTTGCAGTCTCACCTTCTTCTGCAATTGCTGGCCAGTGCGTAGCGATCTGCTCCACTCTTCCAGGTACGAATCGCGATCCTCTGGGTGAATTGAATCCCATGGGTCTCGCAACACCTGGCGTTGATCCTGGCCTCTATAGATGAGGAACTTGGAGTTGACCCAGGTGATTGCTCCGGTGTTGGGAGCGGCGGTGAAGATCTGCACCGGTAACGAGTCGGTGATTGTGCGGAGTAGACTTTCTGAAGGAGGTGGCATTTCAGACGTTTCGGTGATGGACGGTCTCCTCACGTGACCATGCGAAGCGTGAGGCTTTCCTCCGGGTGTTGTCGCCGAGGGCAAAGACTGGAACGACGAGCTGAAGTCTGCGCCGTATGAGTGCAAGAACGAGTGGCCTCGATTGGAGTTGCTCTGCATCTGGGCGCGACGCGTGCTCAATGACTCGTCTGGCTTATCGTTACGTGCCTTGGAAGCATCGTCATTGGCCTGTTCAGCTACTGGGTTTACAGTCACTCTCTTTGCAGGACGCTTGTCTGTCTTGCGTGCAGCTTGTTCATGAGGCGTCGAAGTTGGAGCATTCAGCGTTTTGCCATATTGTTTTCGCGCATCAAAGTAGCTCTCAACCGCTTCGCTACCTGCAAGATGGCCAGGGGTACCGCCCATGGAATGTCTGCTCGAGAACCCGACAGAAGAAGTGTCCCAGCCAGGTGTTCCGGCGATGGAGTCTCCGGGACTGTGCTTGGATCGACCCGAGTAGTCGGAAGGACTAGTAACACTGCCCGCTGCTGAGTTGGTGATGTCTTCCAGATCAAGGTGGAGCAGATCGTCGAGGCTATCGGAATCCGAGGGGAGGCTGATGCCGCCAGAAGTGCCAGCTGTCATGCGCCGTTGTCGGACCGACGCGACTTGAGCTTGAGCATTGGTGAAGTGCCAAGCATTGGAGAATGACGTAGCAAGGTGAGGGCCAAGGTGCTTCAATGAGTTGGTGAGGTTCCGCGGATACGGCACAATGGGCGACAGTATGGAAAGAATCGCAATGGGCGCTTTCCGCACGAAGTCCTCCTTGTTCAGCGACGTTGACATGGACTGTTCGGACTGTCTCCGCGTCATGG